ATGAATATCCTGGGAAGAAAGTATCTCAAAAGATTCTAATTTGACTTCAGGATTACGGTAATGCATCAACGGAGGATCGACATGGATACTGTCCACATTTTCTCTAATCAATTCAATTTTGCGGAAAAAATATTCGTTGAAGCTATTTGCTAATTGACCAAGATCGTCATGAGGTGGTAAGGGATCTTCATGCGGTGCATTACAAAGGGAGCTCACAATTCTGAAAAGATTCTTTGGATTGTTGGAGCTATCACTGATAAGGGAAGTATAATAATCAGTTCTGGCTTTATTCAACAAGTAACAATATCGGTTACATATTTTCCGATAGGCAGTCCAATCTACTTCTAGTTTTGTTTTCCGCATCTTTCTCTCTAGTCTCCTACGCTTTACTTTCAATTGTCTTAGTTCGTCATTGTACCAAGGAGTTGAACGCTTAACTTTCATTAGCTTTCTTCGGACAGGAGCATGGGTATTTAAAATACGTGAAAGTACGTCATCATAGCAATGCACTAATTCATCAATATGTGCAATGTTTTCGCAATGTGAATTCACATTTCTTAGATCAAGTTTAAAGTCAACAATGTTAATCTTTTTCAGTTCACGATAAGAAATTAGCTTTTTGGAGTCATTCGGACGAGGAATAGATAATTTACATTCTACAAAACAATGGTCGGACAGAAAGAAAGTACTCTCAATCGAAAGGATATTAATGTCACTTGTAGATCGACTTATCAATAGATCCAGTATATGATTGGACGAATGTGTTGGAGTACAAACATGCTGTTTGAGGCCAAATGTTTCAAGCATCTCATTAAATTTTATCGTATTTCTGTTAACCGTATCATCCAAGTGAAAATTAAAGTCACCGGTAATCATTAGAATTCCTGGACATAGAACAATATCCTCCAAATAGTTCGAGAATTCTTCAAAGAATTTTCCAGGTAGAACAGGGTGAGCCGCGGAATAAGGTGGACGATAGATAGCAATAAGTTTAATAGAATATTCAAGAATTGAAAAATTCCACTCTGAATATTCAAACGATTGCGTTTCTCCACCAATCGAAACATGGCTAAAAATCCGTGACTGTCAGCAATAGGCAATCGAAACAGGGCTAAAAATCCGTGACTGTCAGCAGTTTGGAAAAGGAAAGCATTCACGTTACTTATCTGTAAGAGCTATAATCTGTTCGCATATTATTTTATATTTGCTTTAGACCCCATGCTTTTTTCTGTTAGGCAAAATTTATTAAACTAAATGGTTGCAATTTTATCGTATTCTGGCTGAACGGACTTCAGAAAGAAGCACTTTGTGAGAGTTTTTTTCTCCATGACTGTAGAACAATACGGTGGCGGGAGAAAAACAGATGCGTTTCTGTTCTTTGTAGCTATCTTAGTGAATTTGTGAAGATATCTAGGTGAATTTGTGAAGACTGGCCAAAGCTTTCAGGGAAATGTCAACAGACGCGTTTCTGCATCGTAGTTGTCACGTGTTTTTTACCTATAATTTATATGATAGAATGGAATTACTTTCTTCAAACAACATGAGATGTGCATGTAATCCGGAATTTGTAAACGTCATAAAGTTTAAGCTAAAGCTGATGCTTGGGGTCTAAATATATCTCGTTTCTATGGATTTTGCTAAACAAAACAAATCGTGTTTCTTGCATGAACTATAAATTTATATTGTAAACTTTATGTCTGCGCAGAAGTTGTCGATATTGATCCGTTGCGCGGCCGCCATACGCAACGAATATATACCTATAGGTTTGAACGTGTATTTTTGTTATCCGGAACAAAAAGTTTACGGATAAAAATACGGCACTTAAATAAGGTGGTACAACGAGCACGCGCGCTCTGCTCAACCAGGGGCGGATCCAGTCCGATGCCAGCGATGCGAATGCATCGGTCAAAATTGAGAAATCATGTTGCTTGAAATAATATATAGACATGTTATGGTGTCGTCAATACTCAATAGTCAAGCACTCAGTAACAGAATAGAGAGATTTAGCTTCACGTTTTCCTCGTTGAAAGGCCAACCAGAAATTGCGGTAAGAGGTCTGCAGTTTGCTGTCCGAGGTAAAATGCGTTTTGACATTTAGCTACCTGTTCAATATGTAAACAAACATTTCAATATGGCGGCATTGGCAAGGTAGGTTTTTATGCGTTATTATTTTTATTTATTATTTTGATTTAAATATAGATTGAAGAAAACCATTAGATAAAAGGCATTTTCTTGTTTTCTTTTTTACCAGAAAAGTCTACGCGGACATAACAGTTTTAGCGTTATTTGAGAGTGATTCTGACCAAAGTAATAGCGATGAAGACGATCTTGACATGGCACTGATACATGTACGCCTTGCGTACTTATTTTTATATATACCCATAATAATTTTGAGTTTGTTACATTTATTTTCCAGCTCTTTTTCACTTGATGCGGGCTTGGATACTTGGGAAGCTCATCATTTCACTAGTTTATATGCTGAAGAAACATTAAAATCGAAGTCGATCCTTGGTAATAAAGGATTAAACTTCCACATCACATTCTAAACCGCTTTTCTATCCTATCTCAAAAATAGAGCCCAGGAAACAACGAACCACACGGCAGCGGAGGGCGTAGAACAAGGCGATCACATGCAAACAAGGGAAATAATGACCGAATCCCAAAATTTTGAAATGCAACCTACATATGAACTGCAATATAGAAACTCTATACAGGTCCTAGACTAGCATCATTCGTAGCCTTAATCCAATGTTCACTAAAATATTCACAATATAATGTTCACAATATTCCAATGTTCAAAAAAATGTTCAAAAAGAGGCGAGGAGACTGCGCTCGAGGAGGATTGATTGAGGTTTAAGATCTTGAAAAGAGAAATCAAACGAGAAATATATCTTGCAGAACAGGTATATTTCAATCAAGAAATAGCGGCAAATAAAAACAATCGCAGTGGAATTTGGTAAATTATTCGTCGAGCTCTTCCAAAAAAGTCAAAGCAGTGCACTCGATATACGACAGATACCAAAGTCCTCGCCAACGAATTCGTTCAATCAATTTTTTACATGTGTAGGCGGGAAGGCGGCCCAAACCTCCATTGAACTTGCTCAGCTGCATAGGTTGCCCGATATCCCTCTGCTAAGCACTATCCCTCCACTGCTTGATCCAGATTTATTCACATTTCAAGAAATTTCCTATTCCTGGTATAACAAGGTTCCGCTCTCGGTTGTGAAAGATTGTCTTCCACAATTACCAATTTTGACGGACCTGATTAATTCCTCGTTTACTACTTCTGTATTCCCGCGTGCCTTGAAAAAGGCGGAGGTTATCTCTCAGCCCAAAGATGGAGACCAAGAGGTAGCAGATAATAACCGCCCCATCTCGCTTCTCCCTGTTCTCTCTAAGGTTGCAGAGAAGATTGCTCTTGGCCAATTTAGCAACTACATGACACGAATTAACAGATTGATTCAACATCAAAGTGGTAATCGGAAATTCCATTCAACTGAGACATTAGGTCTGGCAGTGGTACACAACATCTTTAAGGCTATGTATGAGAAGAAGTTGACGTCAATGCAGGGCCGTCGCGAAGGGATATGGATTGGGGGGGTGTCGAAGGTCAAATTGCCGAGTGACGCTAGTTGAATTTGCCGAGTTTTTCAAAAATGTTGTTAACTTTATGCCACATTGTGTGCATGTCGCGACCATTGATGAGTCATTATTTAATGTACAAATATATACTATCCGTATTGTACAAACCAGGAATTATTTATTAATATACTGTTCTCTCAAAAATAAAGATGTGGATATATAAATGAAACTAAATCATATATAGCTAGAACACTCTTCCGTCTGTTCGTACTTTCCTTGTGCATTACTGTTTAGCTGAAGGTATAATAGTCCGCTCTTACTTGTTAGAGTATTTGATCTGTACATTTAGAGTATATTACAAACGTATTAGTATATTTATCGATACTCGATCGAGAAACGTTCCCCTTTTGCAAGTTTTAGTGTATACGAACTCGTCTCTTCTTCAACAGGCTCCACTCTTTTGCAAATTTTTCCAGGTCAAAAGTTTTTCCAAGTAAGGTCTTTCTCACAGGTTAAAAGCATAAGACCAGTCAGCCTTGAGTCGTTCATTGACTCGTACGTAGTTTGTTCTTCACAAACTTCAATTGACTAAATGAACGTTCGTTTGAAGCCACAGTCACAGGAGCCGTTTGCATCAATCTGACTGTCGAATTTGCCAATGGAAGGGACATTTTGTTGGCTTCGCTGACTTCAACCACCTTGTTACAGTCTTTGCCAACGTCGGAAGGTAATAACCCTGCCAATACTTGTAATTCGGCTTCTACAGCTAATGGGTCAGGTGATTGTGCAGGTGGAAATAATGAGACAGCGGAATGAATGCACGATACATCGATTGGTGACTTCAAACACTTTAACAAAGGCTAAATGCTCTTCTTACACTGCACCAAGTGTTCTCTCATTCGGGATGTTAGAATATCAAGGACTTCGCGAAATTGATTTCTGTAGTAGGCTCGAAGTGAAAACTTGGTGGCTGTTCCGGCTTGCTCATCCACGCATCCAGGTGCTCTCCTAGGGCGATGATGACGGTTGAAATCTGCTTCCGCGTCAATGTCGATGTTTTTGGCGAAGATTACGGATGCTTCAATTTGATCGTCCATCATTTTGTCGTGATCTCGTAACTTCTGCATGATGCTTAGCGTTCCATCAACAAGGCCTGTTGCATCCAAAATATTGAGATAAACTGATTGCAGCTCCCCCACCAGACTTTTCGTTTTATACGCAATGTTTTTCATGAACATCAGTGCAACAACCAAGTCAATCGAAAGCATTTTTTTTCTTAAACCAAGTGCTTGCGTTTTGAAACGTTTCCACCATTTGAAACGTTTTTGCTTCCTGCATGGCGTCGTTTTCATACGTTTTCGTGTAAACAGAACGTGAAAACGGTACTTTCAGAAACGCATTACAACCAAAATCGCTCGGAAACGTTACCGTGTGCACATAGTCTGAGTAACGAGTGTCTTAGCCTGTGGTGCAGACGAGCATCTCCGCAAAGTCAGCAAAGTTATCCTAATATCTGTGATTCCACTGATATTTTATTTCAATCTTTTCATAGCAATCTCATGAATTTGACCTTTTTTATTAACCCCAGGTGCCGAATAGACAATTTATATATTTTTTTTTGTATTTTGAGCAGTCTTAAAACACTCTTACTCAGTGGCGGTTAGTGCTAACTGGGCTTTTGTACGACCCGATTTTCCAAGCGTTTAAATTTTATGCGTCAGAAAGAGAGTAAAATGGATATGCAACCGATGATACCGATCGCTGTATGCGGTATGTCTTTCAAAACTGTAGGTTGATCAGAGTTAACAGTAATTTCGCTAAAGAACTAAAAGAAGACAGGTCCGTTCTTACCGCATGGTTCGTCTTTCTCTTGATCTTTTATTCTTGTGCCTGTGTAGTCTTCTTGAGGATCTTGCGCCTCTGACGAGTCAAAATACTCTCTTTGGCTTTGACCGCGCTTTGCAGCCAAAAACGGATTAGCCGGTGCATCTTTGTGTGCTACTCGCACTCGCTTTCCCTGATGGCAAGTTTGCTTTTTGTTTGGGTTTTGAACCGCTTTGCTTTTTCGTTTGGGTTTTGATAAAAAGCAGTCTAGCGAAGAACATGCCTGAGGATTAGGAACTGTTGATTTTTTAGCCGGAAAACATGGGTTTCACATTTCAGCTTCCCGTCGATTTTCGACAAATAAATGACAAATACCGATTACAAGTAATACATTTAGACAGACCATGGTGATTTTGTCATAAGGCCACATTTTGGCATGATAAATCCACAATTTATCGCTTTATCTCTCGCCTTCGTTCTTCCCTTTTACAATTTGCTAAATGCCGATTTCGCGATTTGCCGAACAGTGACGAAGCAATTTGCCGACTGGGCCGATTTTCGAAAATTATTGGGGGGGCGAAGCACCCCCCCACACCCCCCCGCTCGCGACGGCCCTGAGAGAAAAGGATATTGCACTTGTTGTGCCGATATTAAAAAATATGCAAAGTTTTAAAAAATTTTACCGAAGGAAAACTGAGAAATTTGGGTTTAATTTTGGCAATTTTTACTAGATTTTTACGCGAACAATTTAATACCCAGTTGACGCGTACATGCATTCTGCATAAAACCCAACAAGGCATGACTTTTTTGAAATCACAAAATATAAATTGTGTTTGAAATACTGTTTATAACTGTGACGGATAATGGTCAATTAAGCGTGAATTATACATGTAAAAGTGGCAAAGATATTTAGGTAATTACTGGTTATGACTTCTTAGTATTAATTTGAAAAATGCGGGAAAAATGTTTGTCAAAATTCGTCCCGTACGAGTTAGTACTATCGTCGGATGTTTTCGCAAAATGCCCGTTTAAATTTCAGTTTCTATAGTGGTATGCTTGGAGTTTCGGCCCTGGTCATTTCACCCGTAGAGGGCTTATCATTTAAGTCATCTTTATTGTCATAAGTGCTGCTAGATTGTGAAAAAAACACTGTAAATTATTGAAGAAACTTAATATCATATCCCAATGTTCGCGATCGAACGTCGCGTACGGCGGTTCAAAAAACTTCCAGAATGCCGCTTGAAAAAAAACAAGTTTACATTATCTTCTTTTGAAACATCACATCCAAGTATCGTTTTGGCTTTTAGAACTCTTGTTATGCTTTCAACTAAAGCAAAGTTCACACTTTTGTCTCAAAAAAGAGTTCCATATAAAACACAATCTTCGTTCGTATTTTGAAGCACATGAGTTTTAGTTTACATATATACGAAGAACGTAACCCCCGGAAATAACACCCTAGGGAGCCACTTTAAATTGCTTAAAAAACTATCGATCTAGTAAGTTCATTGGCGAAGTAGCTTTAGAAAAATTTGTTTTGAATGTAGAGAAAATCAGAGTTCAAGTTTATGTAAAACAAAGGAAATCTATATCACATATAAAGATACGACACGTTTACGATTGTTCTTTGTGTTTTCCTCATGAATTATTAATGAATTTTTGAAGCTATTTTAGACAACAGTCACAACACAGAGGTTTTATCTTTTAAAAGGCTCCTGAACCACGGTTGTTTGACGTACAGTATTCTGCCGTATGAGCATGTTTTGAAATGTTATTCTCAAAATCATCATCCAACCTCATAGCTGCAATGCCAAGTGATGTAGCCTCAACTATCTGGTCTTGAATTATACTTCAATTAAAGTGGACAAAATATAACAAGACAGCTATAAGAAATATTCGATCCCTGCTCGAGCAAGCTTTGATTTGCAGATATAATGTATAATTGAAGATCAAATGTTTCCGTATTGCGTAGGAAGAATCGCGATAACCGGCGTCTTAACCACGTAGCCGCAAATTAATCAGTAATAGACTTCCTCTGTTCTGGCTTCAACTGAATTTCGAAGCCTAAATACTTGAAATATAACAAAGAGTTTTCTCAAAAGCATTAAGCGGCGGCATATTTTTTATGAGAATTATACGGCTATCTGCTATTCGATACGCGAGAAAAATTATCGTTGACATTTGAGTTACGTACTTCCGTTAACGAGATAGACCAATGGGTCAAAAACATATTTGTCATAGCCATTTGGGCAGGCGTTTCCTCAAACGACACCCTCTCTTCTCCCGCCAGCACTAAACGCCTGCTACGCAGGCTAATTATTATTCGGATAATCTTAATTGCAAATCATCGCTCTACCCTTTTCAACATCTGCTTATTACTAAACACTGAATCATCCACTAAACTATAAATATTTTTAATGATTTCCGAATCAAAAGTGCCCCAACCGAATCTGAGTGACTCCTCGATAATAACTGCTATTCAATTCACTCTTACAATACACACGCGTGAATCCTGCATGGCATTCTAGATGTAATTATACTGATGATACTGGAAAGTCAAACAAAGACTGGTGAATAATTTTCTTTCTTCATTGTCAAAAGTTATCCGATGTCTAGATAACTAAGCGCATGTTAGAGGATTTATTATATACATGACAAAATTACAGCAATTTTGTTGGTTAAAAGGAGTGAATGGAAATTTTTCATTAATTGTTCTCACAAAAATTGCAACCGGAAATAATTCACATTACATCTTCCACCGGGCCCGTTCGATGAATCTCTGCAATCTGTCTCTCCTTCCAACCTTCGTAGCTTTTAAACCAACTGAGTGAACTGACAAACATCAAAAGGTGGCTGCATTTCACATGTTTGCCGTTCGCATGTGTATCAGTGTTTGTATTTATTGTATATCGCTAAATTCCTTTGAAATCCTGTTATAAATTCTGTAATTTTCTTTTCATTACCGATTACCAAACGACTTATGGTAATTACCGAGAGATCCTTTGCGGCGTTAGACTGAGAGAACTAAGACTTTTTTCCAAAACCAACCTTATACGAACATATGCATGTACATACACGCGCGGGGACTTTTATATATGCCTAATCGTGTTTTAACCCTCTCGGGTCAAAATCAGGCGGGTCAATTGTTTATTTGAAAAACAAAATGGCGCAGCTCGAGTCTACAATTCACTTACAAAAGTAAAAAAGAAGAAAATGCAAATACACAAAAAGGCACTGAACTAAAACTCTCTTGCTGAGCTTTCAATAATTTGAACTTAATCAATTGTTTGCTGACGAATCAAAAACGTGCTAGTCGTTTTATATCGCTGCCTCGCTTGGACATTTCGAGTAAATACTTGATTCTTAAACCATATGTTGTTAAGGACGACGTTTATACTCATTTCCTGTCTTAGCTTAGATGATTAAAATACACCAGATTTTATATCTCAACAGTGTTTCAACTGTCAAATCTGTCAAAGCATACATGTGTTCTCTGCATTCAAGTGACATCAATACCAGGGGAATCTTTAATTTTGTGATGTATACATAATAAATAAATATTTACACGGATAATCATGCAATTGATGATTTTTAAAATTGTGCTAAATTGGCCTTGCCAAGGTGGCTTTTGCACTTTTGGCATATTGTTCAAAAATCTTTCAAAAATTTCATCATTAATTATATTGAACTCGATATCCCCGTGTGATTGTTTTACGTGATTCGGACCAAAGGCAGAAGTATATTGTGCAAATTTACAATCATGGTCAATTTTTATGTGAAATGTTTGATTACGATCCCGTGTTGCGGTGCTCACAGGTCCGAAGCACTCTCAGAAAAACAATTATGTAATTTTACGTACCTGGTACCACACGATGGATGCTCTGTTATTAAAACAGATATAGCTGTAAAACTCTCAAGAAAAGATTGAGATATTCCGTCGTCTTGAGGTCCTAAGAACAACTCATCATCAGGATATCTACAAGGAGAGACAACGAAATATTAGGTAGCAAAATTATCATGCACTTACTTCATGCACGGTTTATTTAATTTTTGGTTGAAAGAATGGCATGTGGACATTTTTTATGTTTCCTAAGGCATGGCAGTTTGTCTTTGTGTTTGGTAAATTTTGATTTAATTTTTTATAGATTAATTATTTTTTTTATCTACATCATCTTTAAATGGTGAGAGAAGTGTTTGTTCTGTGCTACTTTTTCCTGCTCATAATAGCCATTTCGTTGATAAAATGCAACCTTTACAGTCAACCGGCGCTTACATACTGTATATGAGAAGCTGATTGAGTTTCTAAGCGTTGCTATTTACATGCACATTCAACTGGTATTAAATTAAATACTAATAACCACCTCACATGACAAAACATATGTTGCTTTCACTATGTTCGAAAATGTGATCGAATAGTACCACTTCAGTTTATTGCATCTATTTGTTAGAATTATACATACTTTGTTTCGTCTTGTAACATTTCAATGAGCGAGTTCACTTTTTCTTTCACCGAAGATTTTCGTTTGATAATTTCCTGGAATCGTTCCTTTCCAAAACTCACTTTTTTCCATTCGTAATCTAAATATCGATTACTAAGGGCGTGCACACCAGGTTTCAAGTTGTCAAACGGTTCGTTTTCTTGATTGCAGTAATATCCAAACTCCATCGCAGTAGAATCTCCAGGCGAAACATTGCCCACTATCAAGTTGAATCCTTTGTAGTCTTTTCCAGTTTCTTTCACCTTTTCCAGGTATTTATGAGGGGCATCACCAGATTTGAGGAAGTCTGTGACAAGTTTTCCACGACGTTTTGCGCCATGTTTCATAAATTTTTCACTCTGCCTGTAGTTCGTCAATAATCCAATTCTGCCGTTTATTGACATTCCCAGCCATGTTGCTTCATCAGAACCATTGCAAATATCAAAACCTACATGTGCATTTTGAAGAAAGTTTTCTTTGTCAGTTTGAATGTTACTGTTAGAAAATATTATTTTTCAAAATTACCCTCGATTACCACAGCAGAATAAAGTTTGCACATGCGCAGCAAAAAATATATTTTAAAAAACTGGCTAACAGCACCGCGGAAAAACGTCTGCGCATGCGCGTGTACTAAAGGATAGGCGGGAATTTAAATGCTAAATTCTAACAAAAAACATGACTATCTAATTATTTATTAATAATTATTTAATAATATTAATTATGTTAGGAGAATTTCAATGTCAATCTTTTGAGTAAAATTGTTTATTATTTAAAATATTTTACTTATATTATAAAAGAAATAGAAAAACTCGTCTCGTGCGTTTATGGTGTGATAATGCACTCGGGGAATGTTGTGAGAATACTTGACAAGCGTGTAAAACACGAGGCGTACATATCCCGGGTCCACTATCACACCATAAACGCACGTGACTCGTTTTCTGTTTCTTAAATTGTTTTCTTAACCTTTGTGTCTTAAGTTGGGTATTCGACAATTTTTTCAATAAATGTCATAAATGCTCACACGACTCCTGTTCTAAATTTCTTTTTAATTTAAGATTTTAATTGTTAGAAAAAATTTTGTTAATGTCTAAAGAACCCATCTAATGTATTATTTCTTTGTTTCGTTGTCTTAAATAATTAAATCGCCTTGTTTTTGTTTACAATTTGGCATTTAAATTCCTCTCCATTTTTTATTGCACAAGCATGCGTAGACGTTTTTCCGAGGTGTTGTCGCAGAATAATATACGCACATTTGTTGCATCACTGGCCTGTTACGAGCAACTGTACTGTTTGTTTACACGTGTTAAACAAGGGGTAATTTTGTTCTCGAAGAATCACCGCATTCCTAAGCCAATCAGAATGCGTAATTGGTTATTGTAGGTAGTTTCCCTGCGAGCACAGAAAGCCCACTATCGGTACAAACATACATTTGAACAGAAAATATAGAGTCTTCAATAAAACATTGAGCGAGTCAGGATTTTTTGATTGGATTCAACGAGACAAGATAAAATAAGAAATTTGCTAAAATTTACCGCTGGGATTTGCGTTTTATTGCGTAGTTCTAAAATTACCGATAATAGAGCGTAATTATATATATGCCTCATCAGTGTAGTGCTGATGATGTAAAGTGCCTCATCAGTGTAGTGCTGATGATGAGCAGTATGAAAGTAACTAGTATCAATAGTTACCTTCCTTGCATTTCAATATATCTATATTTTGCTAAACTTAGCTCAAGTGTTGGTAAACATGTTTCTAGTTAGGAATATATTCAAAAACATAGGTAATTATAGAGATAACGGAAACAACGATTTTAACACGGTTGACACGGTTGACACTAACGGTTGATAAGATGATCATAAGACTTTAATATCAATTTTGCAATGGTTGACGGTTGACAGCATTGATAAATAAAATTATATTAAATATTATTTTTTTACTACTCTCAAACTGTCAACCGTTGTTCATCCTAAAATCCAGGCTATATAGCTAAAATGGAGTGTCTAGTGCTGTTGTCAACCGTGTGTCAACCGTGTGAACCGTTGCTTTATATCATGAAAACATTAAAGTCGATACTTATATTGTTTCAACGGGAGATACTGATCATACTTTAGTGGAAATTGTATTCAAATAGTCCAGCATAATAACATGAGTTTTCAGTTTTAAACCATAACTACAATCCTGATTGCTCCTTAAAATATTCTTTCTCGTACCCAGGCTGCATGCACGTTCTGTAGGTGTCAGAAGTGATATTAAAACATCATTGCTTAACTAAACATGTAACTATATAAACTGGAGATTCAACATAATCTTGGTGTAAAATACTGTACGCATTAAGGCATTTCGTAAATTTGCCAAATCAGACATCTGAAAAAGCCTTCCCCCTGACAGTTATTTACGCTAAAGATGCTGGTTTTGAAATATAGTTTAGCAGAATGTTTAAGTAAACCAACTTTCGAATAGGGTGAATTAATATTTGGGTGCCATGGAAACCATTGTGTATAAATTGTGTATAAATTGCAACCAGTGGAAGACATCTTTTGGAAGCTAAAAGTAAAGCCTGGACGGTTGAAACTGGTTAAAAATTTATTTTAAAAATATTAAAATATCGGAATACGTTGTTCCTTGAAGCGTGGCATTCTCTAAGACAATATGTGTGTATATATATATATATATATATATATATATATATATATATATATATATATATATATATATATATATATATATATATATATAGAT